ATTCAGTGTGTGTCTCAGCATGATGGATGACACCTGCACTCGTTGAGCAATCGCTCCCTGGCGCACTATTGTTTTTCTTTCTCACTTTTGCGTGGGAGCAAACTGAGTGCATTCCCGAGCCAAAACTAACTCAGATAATCATCTCATCTGCATGATGTATGATTTTTTCTCTTTGGAAGACAAGTCATCAGACAACCTGGAATGCCAGTGCGGTGGTGGCAGTTGTAGTGCTACTAGTGAAGCTACTTGTTGGGTCTGTCCCAAACACCTAGTGCCTGTTGACACAAAATCATTGCAGCTGAATATGGGATGATGCAGCACTTTTTAACACCCGGCCTCATTGTTTCTGCCATATGGCCGTCTTATCCGATACCCGAAAGAAAAGCCAACTTCCACGGCTGTTAAACCGCTGCACATGACGTCATCTCTGTGCAATAAGAAAACCAGGCATTGAATCAAAATTATATGTTGTCACAGTGTAAAATCAGCATAATATCTCACTGTATCCTTGCAGCTCATTTGTTTCCACTACACAATTAGCCTTTACGCTGTGTCTTGGCGCAGAATGCATTTGTGGCAAATAGCAGTCTTGTAGTGAATATGTAAGGGTGTGTCTGAATGGCTGTGTTCCAGACACTACTCTGCCATTAGCACTTGTGCCTAACAGTGTGTGTGTGTGTGTGTGTGTGTGTGTGTGTGTGTCTGCAAGGCGTTGGATGACAAGCCCTGTCAGTACCATTGTGGTTCAGAAACAAAAGAACCTTCAAATAATGGAATCTCCCAATCTGTCACTCACTGATGCGTAGCAAAGCCATAAACGTCAACCAGATGGCAGGTCACTGCGATATTACGCCCCTCCTCACAGCTGGAGGAGGTGGGGTCCCAGCAGGAGAAGTTTGAGCCAGACTGAACCAGGGAAAGGCTGAACTAAGCAACTGGGTAGCATCATCTCCTCACTTTGCCCTCAACATGCTCAGTGACTGTCCATCAGAGGCTATGGAGGGGTGTGAAGTGCTCCCGAGAGCGTGTGGGTTCGCTACTGCTGTGCTCTATGATTAAACAGTAGTATGTGCTGACAGCTGGAGTAGAAGAGCATGATGCACTGGGGCACAGTGGAGTGAGAAGCCGCCTCTCAGTGGTGTTGAGGAAATTATGTATTTGGTGTCTTAAGGCTGTAAGGCAAAAGTGGTTCTGTAATGTGTCACCATCAAACCTGAATCAACAAAAATGACAGTACTTAGCAGGCTTTATGTGTCAGTGACCTATTGAATGTTCACTGAAGCAGAAAACAATCACCACTCTAAGCTCCATTAAGCATAGATAGGTGAAAATGCAGTACAGTGACAGGTTGCATCTTTTGTGGATCTGGCAGCTGTTCTATTAATACAACGCCCTCTTCTGCAGCATGTTTTGTTATTTCAGTGATGAGACACAGAACTGCATTGTTCTCATGATTTACTAATTCTCTGCTTAGAGTTGTCAAAAGGTATCATGGGACATAAAGGAAATCACTGACTAAAACAGTAGCAACAACCTCCCAAAAAATACCAAAATATTGTCACCAAATTGCATAAATTGTATTAATCATCACACACTGACGACATAATATTAATAGAATAGAAAAGTGTCCTGTGTGGTAAACCCACAATCAGGCAACAGACAGAAATAGACAGAAATAAACAGCTGCACAGCATCTACAAACTTCAGTTTAGGATTATGGTCATAAACTTTCTCTTGTTTAGTTTGTCTTGAACCCTTACAGTGTGTCGTCTCATCTGCCATCAGCTGTTCTTAAGGTGTCTCGTCTGCAAGGGCGTTTGACAGACGCTCAAATAAACACAATCTGTTTTTGCATTTGTACTTGTCATCACTTCATCCTTCTGCAACTGCTGTCTTGGAGTGTACACATGCATTGCTAACTGACGTTAACCTTGTATCTAAAAGACACTGGTCCATAGTGCACTTAAGACACTGAATACTGACAGCCTGAGACCTGAACATGCATACATACTGAACTAATCACTGTATCTGAATTTCACTGTGGGGCAGACCTGCTAATTAGTAAAGAGTGTTAACTAATGTTACCTTTCTAAGTTAATGAAGCAATTGGAAACTTGTATCCTTTAGAGTTCCTGTAATCTGAGGTTTACGATGAGGCCCAAAATCTAGAGTGGATCATTTTAAGTGAAGTACCCAGATGTGCACAGACACTCTGCTCACTTGCAGGTACAAGTTACCTGTAGCAGTGCTCTCGGTCTGGCTATTAATGAGGATATTATTTCATGTATTTTATAGTTTGTTAATGATGGGAATGCAAACATGTGACTTTTACCATGACAATCCAAAACTGTTAAATGCAGCTCACTGCTTGTGTTTCCAGTCCTACCTTTGTTTGTATCTTTAATAGTATATTCTATATTAGTTTCCAGACTCGACCCCATTTTGCACATTTTCCACTCAACAACTAGGATAGATGCATAGTTTTCCCTTTAGCTTCAGTAAGAATAACAAGTAATGATAATAACAAACACCCCCTCCATTAATGTGTATGTGAACTTGTTGTGACAGTCCTGCACTGCTCCGACATCCAGTCAGTGGCTGAAGGCTAAACTTGTGCCGCGATTAAAAATGGACGACAAAATGATGAATTCAAAACACAACTATACAATAAATCCTGATCATATAAGCCTTCAGATTCAGTTATAAAAATGCTGTTTGAGTCTGTACAGTGAAGTCTAATTAGAAGTGGAGAAGTTATAAGAATTGTAAATATATTATCACACACTAGTTTGCAGGGGAATGTTTGAAGATTTAATTTATTTTTCTGTTTTGTCTTTGTTTGCTCAACTTAAGTGTCCAGGTTTTCTGTTTGGATGGTATTGTAGAAACCTCTTCTACCCCCAGATCACCTGTTGGAGCATGTTCGGTCACTTCCCAGCATCTTTGTGTTTGCACAGGTTGATCAAGCAGACAGGCAGGTTTGGTTTCATCACGTAATCTGATTACCTGCTGAAAGATTTGATGCGACTCATCTTGACTGCTGGTCTACTAATAGCAAAGCCTGAAAACGATGTCTCCAATGCAGGCTTGTATTTACCTTTTCAGTGCAGTATCATTAACGACCACAGTCAGGCCAACTGAGCCGTGACAGATGGAATTTTGTTTGACTCTTGCCTGCCGGTAGCTTGGCTCAGTAGGTTTATTTTTTTTCTTTCTTTTTTTTTTTCTTTTTTCTTTTTGGTTCTCTGTACATTAAGATGCAACTGTAGACAAAGTAATTTTTTTCTGTGGTATTTGACTTGATAATTACTTCCCTGGAAAAACCCCAGAAGACACACTCTTTTATAGACAATATGTTTAATTGAGCAAATTAGAAAGAGCCCATATAGCACAGCAGCTGTGTACACACACAGTGGAATCTGCAAGGGAAGCCCTCAGAGCACCAGTAAAGGGATGCAGTGAGAATTGTGAGTATGAAAAAACCTGATTGAGTCAGAAGGCCTCCGTGCCAAAGCAGTGGCTTTTCAACACAGATGCACATAGTTAGCGTGTGTGTGAAACCTCAGAGTCCCTCACTGATCACCCTGCTGCATTGATTCTCCAGCTGCTGGCATATTGCTGATGCACTGGGTTTGCAAGGCTGATATGGTTGGTGGCTTCAGCTGCTCAAAATGTTGAGAATTATAGTCACTCACAAGAATTTTTGGAAAGTCTCACTGGATCACTCATTCAGACCATGTTCTCGCAAAGGATGGCACAGGGTTCAAAACACCAAGAATTACAGAAGTAGCTGACATTAAAATAAGGCAGCGTGATAATCAGACTGATGTAAGGTTTCTGTGGCTGGTTGGTGCTGGCACTGGCTGTGAATCAAAACCATCCGCTAGCAACAAAATGGCTTAAAAACTAAAGGGAAAATATCACATGAACTTACATACACTGACTGCGAGTGGTCAGGCAAGTTTTTTTTTTTTTTTTTTTAATCAGATTGTTTTAAGGTGACCTGTCACACCTGACATAAAACATCAGATTTGTGTTGTTATCTTATCCTCCAGGGCTTTAACAGTTACATACAGGTTCACATTAGGTCTATTTGGTAGATCTGGCTGGTGCAGCAAGCAAAAGTGCATACTCTAAGAAGAAAAGTAGAAAAGATGAAAAAAACATGTGACAAAGACTGGAAGCAAATTTAAATTTGTTGCATGTGACCAATGTTTACTTTTATTATCCATTGATCTGGCAATTATTTATTGATTGTCTAACAGTTTAGATATACTGTTTGTTGCCTAAAAGACATTTTCATATTGTTTATTTTATCTGACCAACAGTCCAGACATATTTGATTTGTTTTAGATTTGGTTATTGGGGGTCGTACTGTAAATGGGTTCAGCATAGGCTTTGATTGCAAGTTTAGAATTCAGTTGCACTACTTGATGGTACAACCGCAACATGAGACATTTGTATTGATGGGATTTGGCCTCCCCACACTAACATAACACGCAACCTACTTGGAGAACTGGAGTTACATCCAGGTAACTTTTATTTCGCCTCGTCCTACTTCCTACTCCAGTGCATTCCCCCTGTTTTTATTCATTTATTCATGGAGAGCAGAAAGCTTGGTGAACAGGCTCGCAGTGGTTTTGCTAGATGTGTGTTCCTGAAAAGGAGAGGAATACCAAGTCTCAGCAAGTCTTCAGCATCAGTGAACTGTAGGAGAAAAGTTAAGCAGCCAATCACAGTTCTCCCATCCCCCATGTGGTATCTCTGCAGCTGCAGCTCTGACATGTAGTTACATTTATGAGGAGGCTGCGTAGCTAAGCTGTTACCCCTTAATGCACAAATACTGTACAAATTAAGCTTATGGTAGCTATATGTGTTCACGCCAGAAATTGATAGAGAGAAAAATCTCAAGTTCTCCTGAAAACTGAGAACGTAACCAGCATTCAGCTACATGTTCATGGTTACTGAAGTAACTCATCCTTTCTGTTTTTTCTTCTTAGGTCTGGTGGAGATCTGTTTGATGCATCCCCTCGATGTGGTGAAGACGAGGTGAGCTGCACGTTAAACCCGGGAAACTCATACATTTGCTCATCTTTTGTTTAACTTTACCTATGGTATACTACTACTACTTACAAGAAAGCCGTTTCAGTTCACATCTGCTATGAATCCTCTTGGTGGGTATTTGGGCCTGTGTAGTGAAGTTCCGCGCATACCACGTCTTTTTTCCCAGCCCAGCGAGCCTGGCCAGCACTACACTCATTCTGCACACAAATGGGCACCAATGCCAAGAGCCTCAGACATTTTGTGGAAAATGAAATGCATCATTTACCCATTCAGTCCCCGCACAATGGTAATGTTTGATGTTTTATGTTTTCAAATCATTCCGATTTTTTTACCTTATTACTTAATTTTAAGAAGAAAACATCAACATTTTTGCTATGGCCTGCGGTTCCAGAGAAAGACAGGGACTTGCAGACTATATCCGATGCCACTGAATGCACTCGCTGAGTTTAATGGATTGTTTTCCGTTAGCGTGTCCTGTTTGTGTGTTATGCAAGAGCGGCAGCAGTCTTGAGCTGTAGAGTGATCAAGAGCCTTACACCACAGTGTCTCAGCCAGCCATAAACAGGTCGTGGGCTACTACTAAAGCTTTATAGTCTTTCACAGGCCCAGCCAAGACCTCTGGCTTCGTTCTGAGCCCCCCTGCCCCATTCACTACTTGTCAGTAAATTGTACTGCTTTTTCTGTCATTTACGGCAGCAGTTTCTTGGTAAATAAATTGCCCGGTTTGCCTTTTAAAAAAGTGAGATGGTTGCACTTTGAAGGCAAGTACCACCACCAGAACACAGAGAAGGAAACGCAGGGATAAAAGCCAAGGGTGAGCAGTGTTGTATTAGTCGATATTTGATACTTTGAAGGCACACGGTGTGATTTATGTTCACGTGTGGAAGCTATGGGGGTTTATTACAGGTACGTCTTGAGCTGTGCCTGTCCGTCCTCACACAGGGTCAGGGTTAAAAGTGCACTCACTATTTTCTTTGTAATGCTTTTCCTTAAAAAGTGGTAAAAGCTGCTCTAAAACTGGACAGGTTTATCTGTGTGTTTTCTGTTTGTATTGCCATGTGTTTACGTTGATAAACGTTCTCTTGCTGAGAATGGGTCTGTGTAAATTGGTTCCTTTTGGTCTTGGTTCAGGGTAATCTCTGGGTGTTTTTTGTCTTTTTTAACAAAATGCAAGCAGCAGACTTTGTTTCTTTTAATTGACATTTAGATAATGTCCAGAGTGTTTAAACAACAGGAGGTTAGTGTGTACTCTGTATGACAGACACACACAGGAACATGCACCATGTATAGATATGTATGCATACTGTACATGCATGTTCACACACTTGTTCACACAGTTAATATCCACACATGAATTCATAAACCAGCATACATACCAGCTAATTGGGACACTGAGGGAGCTGAAATCTATTAGCAGAAACCTTTGGAGCCGAGAGTCAGACACAGACACACCTCCACTGGGTCTCTCTCCCTCTTTTTCTCTGGCATGGCTCTTATTAGGCACCGGCTCCTGCTTTAATGTCCACCGGTCCAAATTGAACAGCAACTGGAGTAAATTTACTTTTTTCCACCAAGTCAGAATCAAAGGGATTTTTTTTTTTCTTTCTTTCTCCCTTTTCCTTTTTTTGGAAAGTAAACTTGACAAAATGTGTACCTGCCTAGGAGCTGATGTTTACCTATTTTCCAAATGGGGGGGGGGGGGGGGGGGGGTTTATCCTTCTCCTCTCTCTCTCTGAGACAGGGAAGTAGGCGGTGGTAAATTACAGATTTAGGATTAGCTGCACCCCACCCACAGACAAATAATGTTATGAATCAAAAAAAAAAATGTCAGGACCATTTGGCAGCTTTTTACTTTAAACAAATACTGATTCATCTTCTGGGATGACTGCTTTGGCAGAATGAATAGCTGTGTGTCTGTGATGTGAAAAAAATGGTGACATACAACTTTCAGCATGATGGATAGCACCAAATTTGGAGTACTTATAAGATAATTTTAAATCAGAGTGGGAAAGTAAGTCCGTTATGACAAAACTTTTGCCTCAGAACATCAGTTTAAAACACTGATGGATAAAATTGCTTTTATAATTGTGAAAATATTTAACTTGACCACACTGGACATTGTTACACATGTGGGACCTAAAAGTGAAAGTCTTGTCAGATGATTCACAATGTGTCTTTTTGCCTTTGTTGTTTCGCTTTGACGCCCCATAGGGAGCTCACTGATCAGTCAAGCCCTGACCCCTGTTACTCACCTTTGCTAACAAGTACATCTATCTTACATCTGAGGGACTCCTGCAGAGCCTACCTTCCATCAGACTGACTTACAACCTCTTTCATCGCTGTGAAAGAGTTGAACGTCTGTAAGTTTCTATTGGCCATTTTGAGATATGCACGTGGATGCATTGCATGTAGTTGTGCGACAAACAAGCTGATAGAGGTTCAATGTCTTTGACAAATTCTTTTACACAAGGATGCTTTGTAAATTGCTATTAAAATACAATTGGCTGTAGCTCGAATTGAACCCTTGAGCTTTCAGTTAGAGAACAGTACCAGTAGTAGAGCTGCAACTAACAGTTATTCTCATCATCAGTTGATCTGTAGACTTTTTTTTATTCACAAATGTGTCTCTGTGTCTGTAAAACTTCAGCAAATAGTGAAATATGCCCCTCACAAGTGTCCAGGGCTCAGGATGTTTGTTTTGTCCGAACAAAAGTCCAAAACTCCAAAACATTAAAGTTACACTTAAGTAAAATAAAAAAGCCCCATTTCGATCATTAATATATTAACAGATTTCTTGTTTTTTGCCCATTGACCTTTCAAGTCTAGTCGTTTTAGCACTAACAAGTACTTTTCCACCACCTGGAATATGGAGACATTGTTACATACTGTGTGTCCTATTTAAAGTGCAGTTTCTTTGAGAATGCAGACACAGCGGAGGGCAGACCAGCGTGAGCCTCAGTACAAGTCATCAGGGGGATTAAGGCAAAATAGCCTAAATCGTTAGGGAATGAAGAGTGGTATGTTGGAGAAGAGTTAGGACATTTATTGGTTTTTATGAGCTATTTGAAGTTTAGGTCAACCATTTATTCCACATACAACTTCACATCTGCAACTGTGACAGTTCTGTTTCTCATTCTTTGGTGCTTTTTAATACATCCAATCCAAAGATTAAAGCAAATCCAGAAATTGAAACATCAAGCTTGTTGTGAGTCACTCTGGATAATGATCAGCCCAAAATGTAAATGTAGCATACTTCACACAAAGTAAATAGTTAATTGCCCCTGACCCTGACCCCCCTCTCCATGGGTAGGGGCAGGAATGTTGGGGTGAAGATGGAGGGTGTGGTGTGGGGAGGGAGGGCAGTCGTCAGTTTAGCAGAGGGAGACAGTGGGACCGGAGTTACAGCTTTTCATTAACCTGGAAACCACCTAGTTACATGGTTCATGGGCTGGTCTCAGCTCACTTGGAGGTAACAAAGGGTGTCGGGCGGCACTTTCTGCAGGGGGCTGTGCGCTCGGGGCACCCCATCTGACTCTGATCAGGTTCTCCCTCTCATTAGAGAGTTGCACTGAGCCCACATTTCCCTTCATGTCGAGATCCTGTTACACGGTGCTCCACCCTTATACACATGCATGCGCAAACATACTCATGCTCATCTGAAAGAAACTTCCTGTCACCCCCTTTACCTTCCGCCCAGAGAGTGAAACCACGCCTTCCTCATGTCTGCGTCTGCCTGAGCAGCCTCTCCTGTCATTGTGAACTTCCTGCCGTTTCCACGGCGAGCACATGATCTGATGTGTTTGCAAGCCCCAAAGATGTTTTTTTATGCAATAACTCTTGACTGAGCCACTCCTCCTACGCCTCTTTTCTCCCTCCACACCCACACTTTCTTCCTCGCTCTCTCTCTTTCATGCTCTCTCATCCTGATTTGCTTCTTTTTCCCCGTTCGTCGTCCATTTTTTTTTTCTCTCTCCCAGATAACCACTCTTCATCCAGCCTTTCAACTCCTCCCGCTGAACATTAACTCTTTCTACTGTTTCCACATTCTGTCTTATGTGGTTTTAGTTTTTCGACAACCATCGTAGTTAGCCTGTTGTTGAATCAGCCACCACTTTTTTTAAATATAAATCTTATTATATAACAACGTCATCAACATCATGTGGAATGCATTGTTTAAACTTCTATCATTACTTCTGAATTTGTAGTTTGTTGAGCGATTATGTAATGTTTTGTTTAAATCCCTGTTGTACATGTGTTTTTAGAAGTTTTGTATTGAATTATGCAATTCTGTAAATTGTGTTGTATGACATGCCTGTCAGAGTCATTGCAAACCACTAAGCCTGCCAGTAGCTTGTTTCAAGCCTGATTAGAAAAACCTGGTACTGGCCCTTGCTCGCGGCAGTATCCATGGCAACACTACCTCCATTTGGTCACAGCACGCATGAAAGTGTGTCCCACTTGGGGGGCTTGAAAGTGATCTTTGATGAGAGCTTTGACAGATGACGTCCAGTCTTTTTCAGGAGCGCGTGACAGCACTGCCCACAGGCTTCACTCCTCCTCTCTGCCGCCTCCACCTCCGTTTGCCCCCAACTGCTCGGTGAACCCCACTGCACTTATGGAGGAATCCCTGACACAATCCTCAAACAGCAGGGCACAAAGCAGCAGCAGCCTGATAGCTGATCTTTCCTTGTAAAGGAGTAGGCAGGTCAGCAGTTGTCAAGCCGGTTCTTAATCCCCCCGGCGTTGTGAGACCGCAGGGCAAGACTTTACTCACAGAGTAAACTCAAACACATGCCGAATCCAAAGAGGATAGCGCAAGCTCAGTTGGTGCATCGCGTCAGTGCACAAGCATAATTGAATTATGAGTCCCTTACAAATTTTTGACAGCAAGTCTTTTCATGAGCAGGGCTGAGCAGCATATTTGGCAGGATTAGATATGATGACTTTGCTCTTGAGTGATGCCTTAATGTTGTTTATGCAAATTA